TTATTGAGTTACCACGAGATCCTCCTTCTAAAGTCCACTATCTTCCTCCCCCCCCCAATGTGGAACCAACGACTAACCGATTACCAATGAGTTCTGTTTTGTAGCGATACTGTAGTATTTCACGGTTTTAGACTAGTTCGAGTAAAAGTCTGTCCAAAAATATCTTTACCTAGTTTTTCTCCTCCCTTAGAAACAAGGACTTTGAAAGTCCTCAGAGAAAGGTGTCTCCCCTGTGTACAACTACAACTTCTCTGTACCTTCTTCTCCTGTGTACTAACTTACATCTTCTCTGCACTTCTTCTCCCTGTGTACAACTACTCTTCTCTTTACTTCTTCTCCCCTGTGTACAACTACATCTTCTCTGTACCTTCTTCTCCCCTTGGTGTACCAACTACATCTCTTGTAACTTCTTCTCCCTGTGTACAACTACATCTTCTCTGTACTTCTTCTCCCGTGTACAACTGCCATACTTCTCTGTAACTCTTCTCTCCTGTGTACCACTACATCTTCTCTGTACCTCTTCTCCCCGTTATGGGACCGTGCGCCGTGGCATTGGCACCACGTGTGATACTTATTCACCTTATTCAACACGTTTTATAAATTTAAAATAAAAGCTAGGACTTGCTCTAGCAGCGGTCTCGCCGCAGATGGGCAATGGACGGTCTTTCCTTGGTACCGTGCATTGCGTCGGGGCGAGAGAAATTGAGGTCCACTGAAAAGACGGCGAAAGGAGGTACCACGTCACGACTAGCAAAGTGGTGCCTCCTTTTCGTGAAAGTGATTACGTCATGGGTATTCCTCGGACATGTTTACGACGTCAAAAAACGCACCGACAAGAAATCAACTTTCGGGTCACCGCTAGACAAGTAGACCAATAGCTTTATTATACGATGTTTCCCCGCCTGACCCGGGTAGACACAACAACTTGAAAGGACAGCCGAGGGTCTGGCGACTCAGCTCCTCTCGTCTTCGTTGTTCGAAGTCCAAGTTATTGGGTGAATCGAATTTACGGACTCTCTCCGCTCGAAGAAGAACCCTCCCGGCAACGTAAATAAATCGACAAGAAGACAAAGTGTTTATGTAGTGTCTGGAGACAAAAAGACACGAAGGAGCAAAGTGAAGGTCTTTGTATGTGTGCAAGAGAGTGACAAGCGAGAGGGTAGGTGTTTTGTGTGTACGTGTTCGTGTTGGAGAGAGAGAGAGAGAGAGGAGAGAGAGGAAGAGAGAGAGAGAATTTCCCTGTCGCTAAGAGTAGAGTGAGACGTAACTAGGATTTATAGTATTGTCCACACGAGACCTCTTAGGGTCTTGCCTGCTATGCAGAATAATAAATACGGCAAATTTGGTTAATAAAATTTACACCAAAAATTAAGCCGTAGTACATTCAACGCCGACGTCCAAGGTGTGTGACGAAGGGGCGTCGCTCCGAGGGGGCGGGAGGACGACATATCAACTTGCTCGCAGTTCGAGGAGTTGGGGGGGGGCAACTATTAAGGCTAGCAACCGTGCGACTATTGTTAAAAAAAGATTTTACACGTGAAGTATAGTTTTCCAACGGCTGGGACTAGATTTTAACCAAACGACACAGTACATAAATAATAAAAAACCATTCTGCGCTAATAGAAACCTAAAAATTCTCTACTTGTTTTCTTATCTTCCTTTAATTCTTTGACTTCTATAGAACCCCTATTCTCTATTTTTGTTGCGATATTGTCTCCGGACATGATGCTTTCGTCCTACAAGAGAAATCGGCCGATAGAAGCCCTTTTGAGTCCCAAAGGCCAGGATGTCTCTCAGAGGGGCGTGGGGAGGGGCTCCTTATTTTCATCTAAAGTAACAGACTTTGGAAACAGGGCTGAAACAGAGGGGATTATGGGTAATGCTGCAATGATCTGTTTGGTGTTTCAGCCAATCAGAGACAGGCTCTGTATATATCTGAGACCTGTGATATATTAATGAAGAACAGTATCATAGAGGACCTTTAAATATCAACATGAAATACATATAATTAGCATTAGAGCTCCGTGTTACCTTTCATGATGGCCTGCAGCGACGCCACCTCCTCCTGCCATTGGCTGCGGACCTGATCGATGGCTTCCTGTTTGGTGTTCTCCGACACGGTGGCCACCGTTCTGATGTTCTCCATGTCAGAGCGAGCCTCTTCCAGCTGAGCCTGCAGGGAGCTGATCTCAACCTGAGCGCCGTCCAGAGCCAACGTCTGCTTCTTCAGCTCCACTGGGGGGGAAGAGAGAATCATCTGTACTTAATTGCATCTTGTCTTATTGCTCTGTTTAGTTGTATGTTTTCCTCCTTTAATATATATATATATATTGTTTTGATTTTTTGTATGTAAAGCCCTTTGTAAATATTGTTTAATAAAAGGGATATCAAAATAAAGGTCTGCTTTCAGCTATGGTGGGATGTAACAACAGACATTTATTGAAGTACTGTATTAAACTATAGTTTTTTGTACAGACCTTGGGCTCTGGGTACTCTAATAACATTTATCACTATTTACACATTTGTGGAAAACCAAACAATCAGATGCAGTTTTTATATCAAATAGATTACAATTTGTACATTAAAGGTAGGGTAGGTAAGAATGGAGAAACCAGCTTGAGTGCGCTAGAATTAAAAAAAAAACGAAGTGAAAAAAATCTGCCCCTTCCTTCAGACTTCCTCACAGAGCCCCTCCTCCAACACACGAACGCGCACATGACCAATGAGGGCACGAGATAAGTTTGTGCACAGATGGAAGGCTGACAGGGGGATAGGCAGGTAGGCCATCCAGTTACTTTAGCCGGGCCGGCTCAGATGATTGGTCGTGCTTTTTACAGCGCTACGGCTTCCACAGATGAGATTTTTTTATGTATTTATTGTCAAAGCACTTCAGATATTCATTGCTATCGGGATGTTAAGAGCATTCCGTTCAATATAACAACAAGTGTTTCTGAAGTGAATTACCGACCCCACCTTTAATGTATAAGTTATAATATATATAATAACCTGCTTAAAAAGCTGCGGGTTAGACTATTGTCTGAGATCGCATGGTGTAGTATTGTTAGATGTGCCACGAGCAAGGACTGTCTTAGTTAGGACAGCTTTTATGTGCACAGCTCCACTTGCTTGGAACAATCTTCAGCAAGAATTGAAACTGAGCAGTCCTCTGCATGTTTTTAAAGCTAGGCTAAATGAAATGCTCGTTGATACTATGGGCACTTGTAAATGTCTATAACTATGTAATCCTTAAATATAATGTATGATGTCCTTTATTGTTTTGTGTTTCATGTGGAACCTATATGCTGCAGGTCTCCCTTGAAAAAGAGATCAATGATCTCAATGGGACCAATCTGATTAAATAAAGGTTTGAAATTAAATGAAATGAAATAATAATCTAATGACACAATATATATTAGTAAAATAGTCACTGGGGAAATGTTTCTACTTTAAATACTTACATTTTCTCAATAATACTATACGATGACTGGAGTCTAATGGAAAGCAGGACGATCTTTTTTAAAGAATCTTTCAGGTGTTTTTTGTAAACTATAAAAGGCAGGAAATGAACTGTTTCTGAATCTTTTTGAAATGTATTTCCTTGATATGATAGCATAGCTGATAGCAACAAGAAAGGCGTGGAGAAATCAGACGATATGGAGTAAAGTGTCAAATTCAAACCCTGAGTCTGCGGGATGGACTCAGGCTTCACCACCCGTACGTGTAATGAAGTATTATCTAAGGACGTTGAAGTACTTTTAATTAAAGGATCTGAATACTAGTTCTTGGCCAGCTTGACTTGTGCATTAGGAGTAGTTCAGTAAGCACATTGCCAGTGGGCGTGCATGTTAGTGCTGTCTTTACCTTCCTTGGAGACGAAGAGCTCTTTGAACTTGGCTCTCTTCTGGTTGAACTCGGCCTCCAGCTGCTGCTTCACTTTGATGAACTCGGCTCGCTCCTGCTCCAGAGCCTCCACTCGCTGCTGGAGCACCTCTGGGTGACGGAGAGGAAAACACAAACAAGACAGTAATCATCTGTTGATTACATCGAAAAACGGAGAATTCAACTTCGATCCATTTCCCCTTTCTAACTCAGTGTAAATGTTAAAAGGGAAAAAAGGGAAAGTCTTCAAACACAAGTCTTTTTAAGTCAACTTATTGTTCGAGTATTTTTCCACAGCCATTTCGTTTTTACACTACAGCTTTGACTTTCAGGGCCATTCAAAAGTATAGAAAACCAGCAGGTCAAATTCTATTGAACTAGTTATTATTAATGATGTGTAAGTTCACTTATTCATCTTCACAAAACTGAATCACAACAGTCTTCAAAACTGGATTCAAAAAGCTCTTCCACTTTGAAATTTGTTTAACCGCGCCACTTTTCTATTGCGTGTGAAAACCTACCTTATTCTGAATAAAGTCACAAGTGACAGTTTCCTCTAACTAGTGTTGTTTTTACATTTGCATTTTATTCCTCTTGGAGCGAGGAGATAGACGAAGATCCCCTCGCAGAAACACAGACGGCGAGTGGAAACTTTTACAACACAAGCAGCAAAGTCCAGCGGGATCATGTGATGGCTGAACGGACTGTAAAGCAGAAATTCTAGCAACACATTCAGCTCAACACATGTTCACAGTTTCTCTGTGAATGTACTCGTATGTTAAGCCCAGGGATAGATTTCCACGACTACTAAAACATTAACATGGGTTTAAAAAGAGCCTCAGCTTCAAACCTTCAGAGTATTTATAGTCAGTCAATCTCTGCAGATCAATAACAGAAAGCCTTCTCCTGACCTGCGTTGCTCCGTGCTAAAACATTTACAACCGGCTCCATTTACAAATATTGATTGAAATGTATCGAGCGATGGTATTACTAAATGAGGCATATGTGATTCAAACACTCACACTGTCTTGGATAGGGCTTTCTCTAAGGATCAAATTAAGGAATTGTTCATAAATAGGCATGAACATGTTTTGACACTCACACACAAAGAGGGACTTATTTCTAATACTTGCTTCAATTGTAAAAAAGCGGCCAGAACATTTGATATTTTCTTCCGTTGCCCCGACGTGTAACTGCATGAATATGTGATTTTACCCTAGTCCCCAATCTGCATGTGGAATAATCATTGTTGCTTAATGCTGAGTGCTAAGTGGAACCTATTAATATAATATGTCTGCATCTCTTAACACATCCCACAATTGTGTTAGCTGCGTGATTTGTCAACATGTTTGTCTGTATCTGTACGGGCTGTACTGTCCATATACATTTTGAATTTGATAGTTTCATTGACAGTTGTATGTTTCGGAATGAGTCCTAAGTGGCAAAAATGACAGCTTCCTCCCCTTCCCGCTACCGTTTGGCCAGAAACAGATTGTGTGTCAGTTTAGGGAAACTGGCCTTCTTTTAGCAACTGCAGCAAATCTAATTTAGCAAGCAGCAAAAATATGCACTTTTCTCATTTCTGCCACGTTTGACTTAAAGGTGGGTTAGGTAAGAATGGAGAAACCAGCTCGAGTGCGCTAGAATTTGAAATTACACAGCCGGAAAAAATCTGCCACTTCCTTCAGACTTCCTTACAGAGCCCCTCCTCCAACACACACGAACACGCACATGACCAATGAGGGAAGAGATAAGTTTTTGCACAGATGGAAGGCTGACAGGCAGGTAGGCCATCCAGTTACTTTAGCCGGGCCGGCTCAGATGATTGGTCGTGCTTTTTACAGCGCTACGGCTTCCAGAGATGACATTTTTTGATGTATTTATTGTCAAAGCATTTCATATATTCATTGCTATCAGGATGTTAAGAGCATTCCATGGATTAACAAAATGTGTTTCTGATGTGAATTACCTACCCCACCTTTAATCCTATGAACAAGCTATAGAGATGTACAGGGTAACTTCAACGGGATTACTTTTCAGTTATTCTCACTTTTGCCGATTGCTGACAGTGTGATATTTTTATATTGTAATGGAAAACATTGTAAAGTTATGCTGTCAGATAATTGTCCAAGTAAATTTACATGGCAGATTTGGAATTTGGACCAATCTCAACAAATGATGTGGCGTGTTCTCTCATCTTACTATGAGTGCAGACAGTGCCTCAATATTGCTTCTCGAGGAACAAGTGGTATTACAAGACAGTGCAAGTCTCTCAAAAGTGTACAATACTTGAGTACATCTACTTAGTTACTTCACACCATTGCAAACATCCCTGCACCACAATGCATAAACATCTTTAACAAACACCAAGACTATAACCTCTTTGAATCTTGCTGAAAATGTTAATTACATTTTTTTTTTTAAACTAGACTTATGTGCATATCTGACACATTGCACCTTTAAAGCTACAGCATTCGCTGCATGACCCCACTGTGGTCCCCGGACCCCTGTTTGAGAAACAGCCGTTATACCCTCCTGTATTATGGTCCAACCCCCAACGTGTGCACAGGCCATTTACAGCACTTTGTGATTGCCCGATATAATCCATATGATCCATATTAAAAGACTGACAAGGCCAGGCTAACAGGAGCTAGTACCGACCCTTTATTTGTATTTCCAATGTGTGCTTTTCCTCAATTTTTAACAGCCTTCCTACTTTGTATTGCTTGCCTTTTATCTGCTATGTCACCTTTGCTGTAACGTTGTACATGTATGCTAATGAAGGACATCTGATTCTGATACATCACACTCAATCAGACTAGCTTTAAAGCTAACAAGCTAAATGACACAACAACGTTATAAGGATACAATATCACAGCTTATATTCAGCCATATAAAGCTTTAGTAACCCCCAAAACATGTGCACGTTGTTATCTTTGTATAAACACTAACTGCGTAGTGTTACAGGTTCATTATAGGGCAGTGACAGCCAGTGACACGTCGCCCTGATGATGCTAACTGATGCTAATGCTAATGTTGTCAGAGATGCACCAACGGGCCGCTGGTTTTCGGGTCTCCAAGCCCCTAAAAACTCCTGATAAAAACCCCCGACAAACACAACACATTTACCGTCATGTCGGGACGACAGAGGGGGTCCAGAGGCCTGATCGGCCATGGTTTCTTGAGGGGGGCTTGAGGCAATTAGCAGGGTTTTAGTGGGATAAAGCGCTAGGAGTGTCCAAGAAAACAGGCTAACATCACAACTAGTGTTAAGCTAACAAGGGGGAGTGAAGAGTGTGTATTCCCGTTACACTTTCAAAATAAAATCTATGTTGTCATTGAGTACACACCGAAATAACTGCATACAAAAAACAACAAATTAAAGAAGAAAGACAATAACAAAGAGACTCACGATGAGTACAAAAAGAGACACAAAATGACTGAAAAGGGATGCTATAAGAAGACATAAAATGACAAAAAAATACATTAAAGATGTTACAAAAAGAGGCACAAAACAACAACAACAACAGGATGGTGTACAAATAACCATATAGCCTACCAAATATAACGACATTGAGACGAAACAAAACACAAATAATCTCTAAGTGAGACTAAAACAATAACAAAGTGACTAACAATGAGTACGAAAAGAGAGAAGAAATGCCTGCAAAGGGATGCTCAGTGACTACACAGATTTTAAAAGACTAAATATATAGAAAAAGGCTACCAAAGACACACAAAATGACTACAGATAGGCACAAAACAGCAACAATGAGGTTTAAAAGTAACCACAGACCAGATATAAATACAAAAAGATGAAACAAATAAAAAATAATGTCAAAATGCTCACATAGACACACAATGATTACAAAAAGACCTTTATAATCAAAAAGACACTAAATGTGACCACATTAAAACACCCGATGGCTGCATAGGGAAGCAAAGCAACCACAGAAAGCCATAAAGAAACTATAAAGAGAAAAAAAGAGACATCAAACACCTAGAAGAGAAACAGAAAACTAAACATTTTTATAAACTACTATGAGTTGGGGGCCCTGGGTCCCATGGTCTCGTACTCCAACCATACTTATAAATACAATTGCACAACAAAGAATTACACTTTGGTTTCCATGTATTATGATTGCTAACGTTGCATTCACCTCCTACATTGTTTTCCCACCAATTTACAATTGTATGCGCTTTTATTTTGACAGAAAACTGCCCATTTCCTTTTGACTGATTTTAGCTAGCTTGTGTGAGACCGATCTCATCCTTCAAAATAAAAGCAATTTACTTTGAATTCAGTTTCTGAGAAGTGGAGAGTATCAAGTTCCACATTTAAACAAAATGTAACTCCTCTCTCTTCCTCTCTTTTTCATCAGTTCTTTTTATAGATTCAGCAACTTAGAAAGTCATATACACAATTGTTTGCCAGCTATATTTACAGTATATGATGTATCAAATAAAATGTATCAAATGTTGGAAGTTACTAAATATATGTAATCAAGTACTGTACTGAAGTACAATTTTGAGATACTTGTAATTTACTTGAGTATTTCCATTGTATGGTAGTTTGTACTTTTATCCCACTACATGTATTTAATACCTTTAGTTACTTTACAGATCTGGATGAATGATGTGAAATATAATCAAGTGTTAAATCAGACTTTAGTTCCACCTGGAGTAAATTCACAAGCTACCCTGCAGTAACAGAGTATTCCTACACTCTGGTACTTCTACTTTCACTCAAGTGCAAGATCTGAGTACTTATACTTTTACTCAAGTACAACATCTGAGTACTTATACTTTTACTCAAGTACACAATCTGAGTACTTCTACTTTTACTCAAGTACAACATCTGAGTACTTCTCCCACCTCTGTATGTCTTATAAACAATTCAACAAAATAAAAATGTTGCCTCTGCTTGAATTATTAGATGTAATAGTTAAAGTAAAACACAGTACAATTGGTTTTGAAAAAATAATACCAAATAAGGAAGAAGAGTTGTGTGTGAATGTGAGTAATGGAATTTTTTTTACACATTTTTAAACTAATTTTAAAACCTACAAATCTTAATCCCATCGCCTACACAGTGGCAAACACCTGTGTGACACTATGTTGATTCATGAGAACATAGTGTCATATTTATGAAAACATAAAGAGACTCGGAAATGGATGTACAGAAATGCTCTGCTCTGGCTCTGACATCTTTGACTATACAGGGAAAAATAACTTGCTTGAAATGTTATTTTTACATATTTAACATCACAGAACAGAATTAATCTCTCACATAAACATACACATTGCACTAGGAGTCTTCAAGCGGATGTATAGTATGGCTATACATGTGGTTGTTTCACTGTCAGTCACACACACACACACACACACACACACACACACACACAGACACACACACACACACACACACACACACACC